AGTTTGATCCCAGGTTCTGCAAAAAACAAAAACAAAAAAACTCAACCCTGTCCAGGCAGGACCTTCTGGAATTCCAAAGGAGCATCCGAATCAGGTTTATTGAGGCGGAGTTTTATGGACAGGGCAAGGAGGGCTTAGTGCAGCCGGGTTAGGTAGAGTGAGGTGAGGGGAAACATAACCTGGGGGAGCGAGGACAGAAAAGCATGTAGCTATAACAGTAGCTAAGGCCCTGCTGGGGCTTCGCTGTGCCCTAGCAGGTGGCACCAGACTGTGTGTCCCGGCAGAGTGGTGTTGTTCCTTGGGCTCAGGCAGCTGGGAATCAGGCATTCCAGGCCCTTGGGCGGCTGCGGCTGGACAGAAGGGTTAGCCCTCAAGCCTTTCCTCTTGTTCTGAGATTGAAAGTATTTATTTTCATACAACTAGGGACCATTCATATCTTTTTATGTGAATTTTCTGAACCTACCCCTTTGCCATTTATTTTTTGTTTAGTATTTTCAGTTTTTTGACACAGGGTTTCGCTTTGTAGTTCAGGCTGGCCCTAAACTCACCATGTAGCCCAGGCTGGCCTTTAACTTGAGGCGATCCTCTTGCCTCAGCCTCCTGAGTGCTGGGATTATAGGCGTGCACCATCACACAGGGCCTCTTTGCCATTTATGATTTTTTTTTTTTGGTACTGGGCATCGAACTCGGGACCTTGTGCTTGCAAGGCAGGCAGTGGAACCACTGAGCTAAATCCCCGGCCCTCCTTGCGCTTTTGAGGCAGGTGTGGTCCCACTGAGCTAAATCCCTGGCCCTCCCATTTATGATTTACTTTTATGTATTTAGAATCTCCAGGATTCATCCCCGGATCTCCCATAGCAGCAGAATATAGATATATATTTAGGCAGTGCTGGAGGTGGAACCTGGGGCTTCACACATGCTAGGCAAGTGCCCTACCCCTGAGCTACCGCCCCAGGTCCATATTCTCTCTCTCTCTCTCTCTCTCTCTGTACTGGGAATTGAATCCACATGCATGCTTGGCGAGTGTTCTACTACTCAGTATCCCTAGTCTCTTCCTCCTTTCCTTTTTTTTTTTAATTTATGAGACAGGGCCTTGCTATATTGGTCAGACTGGCCAATTGTGATCCTTGTGATCCTCCTGCCTCAGCCTCCCAAGTGGCTGGGATCACAGGCCTGCACAGCCACGCCTGGCTGTGACGATTCCTGTTCTTAGCTCTTCCTGGACTTCAGCCACGAAGGAGTTGTCTCGGAGTGATTCCAGTCCAGGGTTCGAAGCAGTGTGCTATGGAGCTGGGTCAGCCCTGCAGGAAGCCCGTGTCAGGCTGGAGAGCTGTGATGGGGCCCCGCCTCCCCCCACTTTGTTAGAATTTGTTGAAATTCACCGAAGGTGGGGCCCTTCATCTGCACTTAGGAGTTGTCCTGAGATTAAATGTGCCCTGTCAAGCCTGTCACTCTGGCTGGCTGTGGAAGCCTGGGCAGGCCAGGCTAGGGCTCCCTGGGAGCTTGGGGGCGTTGGTGCTCACCCCAAGAACACAGCTGGTTAGGTACATCAAACTGGCCCTTTCGGGAGAATGAGAGCAGCTTGCAGGGAAATTGGAAGAACTAGCTCACTGCCAGTGGCCTTTGAAGGCCAAGGAGTAGGTACAGTGTTGTTCATCCACTGAGGCCAAGCGGCTTGCATGCCTGTCAGTAGATGAAAGGATGGAGAGACTGTGCAGGTGTACAAAGTGGAGTAGTATGCAGCCACGAAGAAGGATACATTAGTGTCATCTATAAGAAAATGGATGGGTCTTGGGACCATAATACTAAGTGAAATAAATCAGACACAGAAGGTTAAGCATTGCCTTAATACTCAACCTAATATGAGACCCAAAATATAAATTGTTTAAAGAGCAAAATAAGAGATGCTAAGAAACAGGTAAACACTGTGGACATGGGAAGTGGGAGGAGACCTGGGTACAGGAACCATCAAGATGTGACATGTGTGTGTACCATTCCCCAAGGGGACTGTGATCACCGTGTATCGCAGACATACATGAACACAAAATTTGGAAAAGAAAGCAGAGGAGCCCTGGACACTGGTTTTGGTCCTGAATTGTGTCCACAGAGAAGAGCCAGAGCTCAGGAGGGTGGGGAGGAGGGTCCTGCACTTGTAGCCAGAGGGAGCAGACAGATGAGATCACTTTTCTGGGCGAGGTCGACAGCGGGTGTCTGTGGCCAGGAGGCCAGAAGCTGCCCTGCTGGGACGTTCCGCCGTGGTGACTGCAGTCGGTCTCTCTACATGCTGCTTCCTGCCATTGTTCCAGGCACTGCCACACCTTCCCTCTCCATGGTATTCACATGTGCACTGAGCAGGGGGCATGGGCAGGCCCAGTAGGAGTAGGTGGATACAAATGCTTTTTGGAATTCTAGGCCAAAGCTTCAAGACTGGAAACAGATACAGGTAGGGGCAGGAGTATTTGGGGGTTTTATTTGTGTGCGTGTGTGGTTTGTTTTTTTTTTTTGAGACAGGGTCTCCCTAAGTAGTTCAGGCTGGCCTTGAACTCACTATGTAGCCCAGGCTAGGCTCAAACTTATGGCAATCCTCCTGCCTCAGCCTCCCAAGTGCTGGGATTACAGGCGTATGGCACCATGCCTGCCTGTTTTGTTTTTTTGAGACAGGGTTTTGCTATGTAGTTCAGACTGGCCTTGAACTCAATATGAAGCCCAGACTGGGGTTAAACTCATGTTGATCCTCCCGCCTCAGCCTCCCGAGTGCAGGGATTGCAGGTGTCTGCCTCCACGCCTGGCTAAGCTTCTTTTTTTCTTCACAGTTTCAGAGGTGCTGTGGCTTGGAAGGGGTAAAGGCCCTGGTTGGGAATGTGATTGCGAATCCCATTCTCTGCTGTCCGGTCAGAAGCTAGGGAGACTGGTTTTTTCCTAGGTTTCCCCTGCTGTTTCTCCCCAGTTGTCTGCAAACTCCTTTTGGACCTTGGGTCATGTCTTCTATGTCTGCTAACAGTGCCTGGCACATAGTAGCTGCCCAATAAATTGAGGGAGCGAATTTGCAAATGAATCTGATGTAAGAGGGTTATGAAAAGATTTCGGTAGTAACCACCAGGTGGCTCTTGTGTCCCAAGTCGCGCTGGCCTCTCAGGAAGCTGGTGACACTCGGAGAATCTGAAGGTTTGTGTGTGTCAGGAGCAAGATGCTTGCCCCAAGTCACACTGTTGTCTGAGGACGGAGTCGGGGTGGAACCTAGCTCACAGCTTCGACAATACCCAGTCTGCAGAGTGTTACCCTTGTTCCTCGGGGTGCTGGCTCAGTGCAGCTCTTGGGGCGGTGGCCTTGCTGCACCTGTCCTTGAGCTGGGTAGCAGCACCCTTCACACGCAGCTAGGAAGCTCAGAGCTCAGCCGGAGATGCTGCAGGGCCACAGTAGGACCGAGTCTCCAGGGCCGAGGTCCCCAAGACCTCTGTCGGTCAGCCACGATGAGTTCATTCTCCCAGAACTTCAGTGATCTCCGCAGCGAGGTCCTTGAACCAATGGCACCAACATCATCGGGGGCTGAGCCAGGACCTCAGACGTCCATGTTTCAACAAGGCCCTGGGTGACTCCAGGGCACCCTGAGCGGCTCCCTGTGCTTGTGAAACCCCAGGTTTCCCCAGCGAGGGGACTACTGACAATGCAAAAGGACATCTTTCTTTCTCTTCTGGACAAAGTCTTACTATGTAGCCTGTGCTGGCCTCCGACTCTGTGGTGATCTTCCTGCCTCAGCCTCCAGAGTGCTGGACTTTCAAAAGGGTTTCATTTGCAAACTTGTCAAGATGGGTTACTTTAGGGGCTAAGTCATGGGGTGTGTGTCTTCTCATCCCTCAGCTCAGCGGGTCCCAGGGAGGCCAGTTACTGAGGGCTGTGCTGCCTCCGGTTTCTTCCCACAGGAGTTCCCAACCGGCCACCCCCTTCCCCTTTTGTACTTCGGAAGCCCACAGCCCATGGCTTCTCATCTGTCTGCACACGAGGGTCATCAGGGGAGCTGAGAAAGGCAAACCCCACGTTGCAAAGTCGTGTTTGGCTGGGCCAGGGCAGTGCTGCTGGGCCACAGGAGCAGGAGATTGTGCACAAGGGATAATCTCACAGCAGAGCCTTGAACAGGAAGCAAACGGGGAGCTTGAGGTGAAATTACTAGAAGTTTTATCTTCTGCAGCCCTTTGCTCTTTTCCAGAGGTGCAAGGTGCCATCTAGGCCAGTGGTTCTAAGGCTGAGACCTGTGGGGTTCCTGAGACTTTCCAGGAAACATATTGACACCATTTTGCCCTTTTCCACTTTCTCTCCCAAGCCCACAGGGGAGTTCTCCAGGAACTGACGTGTGATGTCATCACTGACAGTAATGCCTTTTTGTTTTGAAAAATTTCCAGTGTCTAATATGATAGGTATCTACAGATATAGCCCAGAAAGATACAAGCTCCTTGGGGTGTTCGTTGGGCTTGGTGACACACACCTGGAATCCCAGCACTTGGGAGGCTGAGGGAGAACTGCCACCCTGGACAACACAGGGAGACCCCGTATCAAAAAACAAACTCAGAAGGATCCATGGACACAATCCCATCTTCCCTTTAAAATTAGGGCAGGGCTGCCTGCCCCACAAGCGCAAGGACCCGAGTTTGATCCCCAGTACCAAAAAATAAAATAAATAAAATAAAAATTAGGGCAAGAGAAGACTGCCCTGCCTTTATGCTGCTGACGAGAGAACATCTGGGATAGAGGTTTTCTTGCCAGCCGTTGTAAATGACAAGAAAAAGGAGGGGCAGATGGTCTGGATTGTGGGTCAAGGCCTAAAGCTGATCTTGACTTTGGTCAGTCAAGACTGCATGCTGGGGAAGGGCACGGGAGCCCAGGCATTCCAGCCCCAGCTGCAGCCTGGTGAATGTGCACTGCCTTGCACGTGGGTCCCCTCTGCCCTGTCGCCAGTGAGCCTTGCACTCGCCATGACCCCTTAAGAAAGAGACGTGGGCACGAGGTTGTCATTCACTTTTCCGCATACTTTATTTGTTACAAACATACAATTTTTTAAATATAGACTGTAAAACTCCATTTGCAAAAGTCTGCTATTGTAAGGAGTGCACACCAGCCGGAAGGGTTCTTAGACTTTTTTTTCTATGAGTTTTCTGTCAGTTTTGCTAGTTAGTGGTAAATACGGGACCCCGCCACTTTACAGACCTGTCTGAAGCTTCTGGCTGTTTTCACATTGCTCTTTCAGAGCAGCCCTGCTCGTCTCGAAACTGGTCAGAATCTGAGCTTCAACCCACAGGCAGTGAGACCAACAGCCCGCCTGGACTCTGCTTTGAACGGTTTTCATGAAGTGATTTCTGAATGGGTACTGCACTTCACGGTTTGTTTGAATTGCCCATGCAGCTGTTTGTTAAAGTGCATTCTTCTTTTAAAAAATAAGCAAGAGGAATAATCTTTACTCTTTAACCAAGGTACTTAAAAAAATGAACTTTTTGGTCTCTCAGCAGATATTCCCAAATTGATCCTAGCACTACAAATTTTAGTGTTCTATTTACAAACATTTATAGGGTTACGGGTGGAGGGGACCTTACAAGATTAAAGGTGCAGCTTCATGTGAAGCAGAAATTAGTTCTATAAATTCATACATAGGCAAACACACTTGGTTTACAATGCATAATAAGCATGTTGGTATTTACAGATTGAAGACATACCAAAAAAAACCCTTTTAAAAGTCATTTCCAACCTACACTCTAATCGTACATCTAGATCAGGAAGCTTTCCTGCTACCAAGATTTGGTTTTAATTCACTTGAATGACTTCTGCAGACTCTATGGGCAGGACAGGAGTCCCAGCTTTGGGGCGGAGAGCTGAAGCCAATGCTGGACGCGAGCGGCAGCAAGGATTCCTATACAACAGAGCACGTGCTCTGGAAACGCATCACAAGATGCATGATTCTTAAAAATGGGTCTCGGAAAGACATTTGGATGGAGGTTCCACAGGAAGAATCAATCTCTACTAACCTAATTGTCCTCGACTTCAGAAGAGAAGTCCACATACACTGATCACCTTAGTTACTATTAAATATGGGTAGTCACGGAAACAGAACTCAAACACACTTGCCTACCAAGATGTGCAAAGCCACTGACTCTTGGTAGCCTGTAACTGCTGATTTAAACTTAGTTCCCAGACTTTCTGTCCAATCCAGTGACATTTAGGAATCTGGAGATTTTTGTCCACAGAGGGTGACATGTGGGCCAGGAAAAAGTGTTTATGCCTAACATTCAGCGTAAAAATGAAACTCCTGAATTCCTTCAAATGTTTAGTGATATAATCCTGTTCTTTTAAAATTTCTTGGGACTCTCCCTGCAGTTTTATGTCTCTGAAAAAATAATTTGTGATGGGAAGAAATAAACCGCTCACCATTTTATTCCCAATTAAGATTTTACTAACCAGCTTGATCGTGCAATACAAGGGAATTAAAATAGTCTGTCTTCAAGAAATAAGAGAGCATCTCAATAACTTTTCTTAGCTATTGGAGTTACTTATGGTAGGGGGAAAAAAAGACATCAACTCCTGCCCTCTGCAGTATGCTAATGACACCAAACAGGTCTACTTTCTCTCCAGTACTCCGGACCCACATTTTATCACACAAAAAAAGTACAGCCAGTCCCCTTATCCATGCAGTGGTTATTAGATATAACACAGGGGAAATAAAATTGGCTCTCAAATTCAAAATCCCATGTTAACTAAAAGCAGTTAAAAATCTGTCAAAAAAAAAATCCAAAAAAACTTTCATCAAACTGTTAGAATCATCTATGGAAGAAAATGGTAAAGTATCAGCTTCTCATCAATTTCCGCCCTCTCCCTACTGAGCAGTGAGACTACCAACGGCATCTGTTGTCTTAACATGGCTCTGCCTACCTCAACTGGAATGTCTTGTTAGATTTTCAAATGAAAGAGATTGTGACTCGAGATTAGCTTGATGGCATATTTCCTATTTCACTAGGAAATATAAAATACATTCATAAAGGCCTTACATGGATTGGGACACAGGTATCGACTGGGAATCACTAGGGGAATAAGTCTTCATGAAAACATTTTATTATTGTTCCTAATTTAACTTTCAGTACCGACAACTGGACCACATTTGTTCAAAGCCAGTCTGTTAAATCCATTAATAATGAAACTCAGCTTTAGGACTGAAGACCAGGAAAGGGGACTTTAATTAGAACTCACCATTCCAGAGTCCAGTTATCTCTTGAAACTTCTGGGGGCTTGGGGACTAACATCTGAAAATTAATATCTTTGTTTTTCTAAGTTAAGAACAGAGGAAATGAAGTTATAATTTGCCATTTCCTCTTTAACTCTGGAACTTCAAATGGGACATAGGACATGACCTTTTTTCTTCATCTGTATTTTCTAAAGGGCCAGGGATTTAGCTCAGTGGTTCTGCCGCCGGCCTCGCAAGCTCAAGGTCCCGAGTTCGATCCCCGGTACAAACCCCCCCCCCCAAAAAATATATTTTCTAAAGGTAAACAGGGTTCTTTTTTTCTTTTTTCTTTTCTACAAACCACCTCCCCCCTCCCAGACCCACCCGCACACCCATTATCCAGTCTACTGAATGGGAGCTGTAACTCTTTAGGAAGACAGCTAATTGATTACAGTACTCTAAAACCAACCCTGAAAACTGATAATCTCATTCATTTACTATAACTTCAGTGCTGTTGTTGACAGAAAAGAAAAAAAGTTACCTTAAGGCTCGAGGGAAAGTAACTTATTAAATTGTGAATGCAGCATTGTTTACTCTCCCATCCATTGGAAACTAGCAAAATGCATTCTGGATCAATAATACAAACTTCCTAACATTAGCAAAGATTTCTACTCTACTTACATAGAGTTAGAACAATATTCATAAGCAGATTATCTAGGGGAGCCTGAGAAACCATGATCCACATCACACAAAGATTCCATGTATTTCATGATCAAAAAGTGCTTTATCTTTGAGAAATATGTCAGGGTTAAAATGGAAATATACAATGCAAGCTCACTTGACACTTTTTCAAGTGAAGTACAAAGTGGAAAAGGAGCAAAAAGATGGAGGCTCTGCTCGCTGAACAGGCCTTACGTTGTGTGACTTCTGGGTATACGAAATTAAAATTGTTTTAGGAATAGTGGGATTCTACACCACTATATTTTAAAACCTGAGATTGGACATCAAAGCAGTCAACTTTGTTTTTCATCAGAGCAATTCTGACACTTCCTAAAAATAGAAGAAAACTCAATTGGATTATCTCCAGGGTCAGTAATATTGACTTTCCCCAATCAAAAAGGAGACTGATCAAAAACCTCATGCTCAGAGTGCCACAGGCCAGCACTCTCAGCAAACAAGTTGTTTACATCAGCGAAAAAGCCTCTTCTCTTCCCCTTCTCACTCATCAAGGCCACACTATTTTCAAATGAATATCTACTGAGAGATCAGTTGTGCATTGGACAAAGTACCATAATTGGGTTAAAAATGAAAACAAAATTTACAGTGAAGAATACTTATGTGCATGGCTTACACACTCCAGCTTCCCTCGGTGTCATCTACCTTGAGAGCAAGATAGACGCAGTCACCTGTGTAGACTACACCTGACACCCCTATTAAGCCAGTCAAAGTCACATTCACACAGCATCTCAGCGACCAGCGTGCCTGAAGTGTGCAGCCGTTTATAGACCACTCAATATGAGGGCATTATTATAACCAGCCTCTTCTGCCCACAACCCTGCATTTTCAGATAAGACAGGAGAATTGTTTTGTTTTGAGAAAACCGAAGCTTGACTCTCTTAGAAGACCTGCAATTTACTGCAAAGTGATCCAGAGGTAACAAAGGAGGCAGGAGGTTAATGGCTGCCTGTTCCGAGAGTCTCTCGATCATTTTGCAGTAAATAATTATGGAAAGTGACATGACAAGCAGCCGTGTGTGTCCCACGGCCAGTCACTGGTACCACCTACATGCCTCCAACAGTTACATAGGGTGCCTGGGTTTTTGGTTTGGTTTTCACTTTGATTTTTGGTGCCATACAGATTTGTGTTTTGTTTTGTGCAGCATATGCACTGAAAAATTCGCTGCTACAACCGCTGTTTCACTTGCTAAAATGATGGGTAAGGACAATAGAAACCAGAAATTAGCAGGATCACTTCACAGATTTTTACTCTTTTGATTCTGTTCCTAAAATTTGACTTCTCATTCAGCAGTTATGGTAGTTTGAGAAACAAACCTTACACCAATTATCTGAAGAGGGAGTTTTAGAGTTCCTGCTTCTCAGGATATCGAACTGTTTTGATTAGCTGGGACGTTTGGCAGATTTAAAACCTCTAAATCCTTCATAGTACAAACACAAATAGTACACAGCACGAAACACAAACAAAGTTGGTCGTTTCCCAGTCTGTACAATGCCACCATCTCACTGGCACTAACAAAGACCATCTCCTTTAAGAAGCTTATTTACGAACGAATCTCTGCTTTGCTGATTTCTATTGTCCCTAGTCACTGAAATGAGGATCAGTGAAATGCTACAATTAATCCACATCCTTCTGCAATCTTCCTGCAGTGGGAAGAGAGGCCACTAACCATCCCCTGCAGGAGAAATAAACCTTAGAGATTGGTTAACACTTAAAAACCCACCACTATGACATTTACCACTTAATCTTACATAGGCAGGTCAAAATTTTAATATAAATTACTTTTGCCAACACATAGCTTATGCATTCTTTGCTCCTTTTTTTGGAGGATTCTCAAATTGATATCTAAAGATTTACATATGATATATTACTGTTATATGGTCTAATGACTAAGAAAATTTCTCTGGTAACCAAAGCTGATGCCATATATGGTAGTGTTCTTGGCATACTGCTCTATATGCCTCAGACCACTTCCACATTCTTTCTATTCAGCTAATTATAGCTTAGTAGCCACTGGTGAAGGATTGTGAAGACCTTGTCATGTCTACAGAGTAGAATGGCAAGGCTAGTCACTGCAATTCAGCCAAACAAAAAGAAAAAATAAACCAACCCCTGGAAAGGAGAGGTACTGCACCTTTGCAAAACTGAACTGGCTCACTGCAGATGAGCAACTGAATCACTGAAGCAAGAAAACAAGTTGGTCTATACAGGAATTGTACATGGTTCGAAAACAAAAGTTACAGCAATCAACAAATGGCTGCAACCTTAATTTTCATTGCTGCCTCAGAGTTGGAATCCTAAGCAGTTGCTGCAAACCTAATGCTAGCTTCTCAGCTCCTTTACTAAAACTAGGAATTTGTTCTCCGCAGCAAAGAAATAAACACTCAAAACACATAGGTAAATACAGCAGGACATTATTGAAAACAGCTGCCTTGTAGTACAAAATACAGTACAAGTATACAGATGTCATTAAAACATCAAAAATACTATTGCTCCCATACAATTTAGGAAACATTCTTTGCAACGGAGAAAAATTTAAAAGAAAAGCTTTAAAAAAACCTGTTTAAAAATTCTACTGTGGATGATGAGTAGAGAAATAGTCTGAAAAGGGCACCAATGTTTGTGGCTCTTCCACTTTTTTTTGTTTAAATCTAAGATCAACAATATTCTGAATCATAGTCTATTTTTTTTTAAAAAAGCCTAATTTATATACACAATTATTTCCCTCCCTTTCAGCCACAAATGCATGAAAACGACCTTTTTGTATATTACTTATTTCCCAATAAATACAAAAAGATTGTAGATTGAATAATACCAAAATAAGATAATAAAAAGGATATGCAATAAATTAAAAAGGCAGCTCAAATGAAGGGCAGGCATGCAGTTAAAAAAAATACTAAGATTGTGGAGGTGGGGTTACTTGCCTCCTGTTGAGAAGGTGTCACACAAAGAATACCTGAAAACTTTGGAAAGAACATAAGCTCATTCAATTCAAAGTTACCTAGGTGTATGGCATTTCTGGGAATACCTTTCGATGGGGGTGGGATTAACTTGATTAGTATAAATCATTTCTACTGAAAATCCATTTAAAATATAGGAGAGGCGATCCTTGAAAACCCCAACTTTTATTCTTGAACGACAGCTGGATAAACTGGCAAAAGCCAGTCTGCTGAAATTTCAAGATGGTATAAAAATGCTTCCAGGATGTAGTCAGCACATTCGTTCACTTCAGTTCCATTCACAGGTGGATTTCGGCTTCCACGGGTGCACTGCTTGAATCACTCATCCATCATTTGCCAACTTTGATTGTGAGGTACTGATACAATGGATCAAGTTCTTAAAATTTTTACTTTAAAAGAATAAATGATGCTGGAATTCTGGACCTGAGGATCTTTAGTATTTGAAGAAATCCACAGATTAAACTGAAGGTAAATTAAGACTTCAGTTTTGGTTATTTCCAACTTTCCTGTGAGGATGTATATTCCATTAAAGCTCAGGCTTGTAGCCACACTGTTCCTTTTGCAAGTAATAGTCAAGTTTTATGGTTTAAAATGCAGCCAACCAGTGGCCCAAACAGCCGAATTAGCCATAATTCACTGGCTCATCTGGTGGAGCCATAGGGATCTGGCTCTCATTCATATCCAAGCCACTTCTTGGTAATGACCTCCATATTTAGAGATCATGGGAAGAACTTTAGTGAGCAGCAACCAATCCACTCAAACAGTTTGCCTTGTGCTTTATGTCCGACTTCTCGTGCCTACCTCAGCAATCCCCAATGTAAAATTGCTTTTATTTTTGGAAAAAATTTTGCCAACTTTTAAAAACTATTTTAGTAATGGATTCTCGTTCAAGCATCGATATCTGAATTCATTTGCATCCCGTAAACAATTCTGCAAAAGAAAAGACATGGGCTTTGGTTCAGGTTTCACATAAAACCAATTTTTAAAAAATGGATTCAAATTTTTTTTCTGAATTTTCCAATGGCTTCTTGAATTTTTCTTTTGCCCTGTCCGTGATTGTGTAAAAGTTTCATTCTTTTCCATAAACCTGTAACCTCAAAACTGGGTATCTGCAAAGGCCTCTTTCTTCTCAAAGACTGCACGAAGATCCAAATCCAAAATGCTGATTTCAATGGAGATGAAGACGCTGCAACAGTGATGAGGCCTGGTGAGATCTTGAGATTACCCAGGTACAACACAAATTCAACTTTTATCAATGGGTGGGGTCTGGGAAAACTCAAGATGTTTCGGGGCCCTGACGTTTGAAGATCTATCCCCTCCAGGGTCCGCCTGATAGGTTTAGGAACCCAGGTTGGGAAACAAGCTGAGACTTCTGTAGGTTGAGGAGACGCTGTTGTCCTCTTTGCAGGTTGCTGTCAGTTCCTTGGAACTTTACTGACTTTCTTGTATTGTCCGCGACTGTTCTCTTATTATTTTTTTGTTTTCTTTCTCGGCGGCCCCTCCCTTGCACTTTCTCCAGGAGCTCACTGCGGTTGAGCCAGAAAGAGAACTCTAGCCAAGGGGACAGTGGCGGGGCGGGGGAGGCCGCGTGCTTCAATCCTCATCCACCTCCTCGCCCTCGGACTCGTCGCCGCCGCCGCTGCCCCCAGCGCGGCGCTCGTAAAGCTTATCCCTCTGTCGCTCCTGGATCTCCTTCATCTCATCCGCATACCGGCAGAAGGCGCCTCCAAACTTGCCCCAGGCCTTGAAGGGCACGGTGATGGCGTTGCGGTAGGACGGTTTCACCTCGCTCACCCGCAGGAACACGCCGTACTTGTTGCAGCCCACGTCGAAGAAGAAGCGCTTGGAGTCCACCGTGATGGAGGTGCCCTCGGGGAGCTCCCCGTACAGGCCGCCCCCAGGCCCGCCGACGCCCCCCGGGCCGCCCGCCAGCTCGTCGTCCTCGGCGCCGTAGTCGTCGATGAGTTTGGCCAGCGCGTCGCGGAACTCGATGAGGCCCTGCGCCGGCAGCGCGATGGTCTGGCCGCTCTGCAGGCCGCCGGGCCCGGGCCCCGCGCCGAAGCCGCCACCGCCTCGGTTCACGGTCTGGCGGATGCGCAGGAAGCGGCCGCGCTGGTTCTCCTTGAGGTCCAGGTAGTACTTGCGGTTCTCGCGCACCAGGAACTCGCTCTTGAGCGCGCGCCGCGGCCCGCCGCCCTCCTCGGCGCCCGCCGCCAGCTGCTCGGGGCTGCTGGGGCCCAGCTGCGCGTAGTGCTCGATGAAGTCGCCCAGCGAGTCGCGGAACTCGGCGGCGACCGCCATGGACAGCGTGAGGCGGCTCTTGGAGCCGCCCGCGCCCACCTCGGCGATCTTGAGGAAGCGGCCCTTGGCGTTCTGCTTTACGTCCAGGTAGAAGCGCTTGTTTTGGATGTCCAGCCGCTTCGAGGCCAGCTCCTGCGTCTCCTGCTCGCCGCCGCCGCCGCGGGGCGCGGGCTGGAAGCCGCCGGGTCCGCCGCTGCTACCACCGCCGCCGCCGCCGCGCTCGCTACCGCTGTCGCCGTCCGCCATCTTTTCGGCCGCCGCCTCGCCGCTGCCCGCCCGCCGCGCTCGCGCCTCCGCCCTCCGCCCTGCGGCTCGCGCTCCGGGGCCCCCCGGCCTCGCCCGCCGGCTCCTCACGCGCACCCGCTGCTCATCGCCGGCCGCCGCCGCCGCCCCCCATCGTCTCCGCGCCCCGCCCCCGCGGCTTCCGCGCAGCCCGGCCCGCTTCCGGCGCGTAGCTTCCGTTAACGTCACCGCGCCCCGTACGCCGCCCGCTTGGCGGCCGGAAGCGCCGCTCGCCACGGCGGCGGGCGCAGAGGTGACGTCACGGGCGCGCCACCCCGAGGCCGGCCCCTCCGCTCCTTGCGCGCTCGTTTCCGGGGAGCCTTTCCACTGTTGTCGCGAGCAGGTACCGTGGGTAAAGAGGACTCAGACTCGGATGGCAGTTCACACACTTATCTTATATTATTATGATTCACTTCAATACACTTCACTTCAATACACTTATCACACAATATTAAGTCTGCCAATTACCACGTCCCTGTACCTGTACTGCGCAAATTCTTGTGGGAGCGCGACGTTTCCTCCCGTGGGGTTAGAGGGTCCGATCCGTAGACGAAGGGCGTCGAGTCGGCGCTAGGCTATCCGTCTCTCCGCTTGCCTCGTCCTCTGGTCTCGTCTGGTCAGCGGTGATGCTCCTTCCAGCGGGATCAGGTGTGCAGATGTCTCGGTCGGTAGTCAGATCAGCAGACTCACTGGCTGACTGGTCGGTGGACGGATCGTCGACTTGCTTGGGGTCTTCAGCTCCTTTTATACTATTCTAGCTGGGCGTTTGTGGTATTGGTTCAGACTTATCACACTGTCCAGCTTGGGGCATACTCTGCCCAATTCGGGGTACGCCCTGTCCAGTTCGGGGTTACGCCCCGTCCAGTTCGGGCTACACCCTTATCAGTTCCATACCACTTAAGGTTCTACTTTCATTACTTTCATATCTTATGGTTACACATCACTCTTACGATTGTGTTATACTTAGGTTACAGCACTCTTAAAGTCACAGCACACTTTAGGGTTACAGCACACTTAGGGTTATACAATTCCATCTTATTCCAAGGTGTTCTCCAGAACTGTGTCCCGGGGGCGTCCACGTGCCTGCTCCTTTCTAGCGCCGCGACTCGGAGGAGGGATGCTGGGGAGGGTGAGGAGCGGGGGCGACTGTAGACGAGGCCCAGCGGAGGCCCAAAGACAAGCCCAGTTGGCCTGGGTGTTGGGGTTCGAGAAGAGTGTGCCCTGTATCCGGGACTCAGCGCCCGCGCTGCGAACTCGGAGCAGTTGAGACTTGGGGAGCTCTAGGAAGTCCGTCTGCAGTGCGCACCCAGAACATGGAGCCGTCAGTTGCGGTCACAGACGCATTTTGGAGAGACGACTCTGAGTTTAATATAGCTGGTTTGGAAAGTGAGATTTGGGATCTAGAGTTCAGCTCACAAGGTCTTGCTGTCCCCGTGCCTCTTAGCCACATGAAAGGGCTAAGTGAATGTGCCCTGTCACGCTTTAATGTGTTTACCAGTAAAATGTGTATAGTTCCTATGGCACCTTTGAGAGCATCGAAATGTAGTGAGAGGCTGTGTTGGAAGAACATTAAAAAACGTAGGCGGTGCAGTCTCACTGTTTGTATTGGATCTATGTCACCTTGACCAGCTTTTTTTCAAGCCAGTCCCCCCCCCCCTTTTTTGACAGGGTCTCGCTCAGACATTCAGGCTGACCTTGAGCTCACTATGTAGCCCAGGCTGGCCTCGAACTCACGGCACTCCTCCTGCCTCAGTGTCCCCAAGCTAGCCTCAGTCCTCCTAGCTCAGCCTCCTGAGTGCAAGTGCTGGGATTACAGGCACCACCATGCCCTCCTTTTTCTTTCTTTCTGTACTGGGAATTGAATTTAGGACCTTACACTTGCCAGGCAGGCGTGGCGCCACTGAGCTACCTCCCCGGGCCCCTCCTCATTCTTTTTTGCTTTGTTTTTTGTTTTTTGCGGTACCAGGGATGGAACTCAGGACCATACGCTGTGCCACTGAGCTAAATCCCTGGCCCCCTTCTCATTCTTAAATGTAGTGATTAGTAATAAATTGATGCCAGACTGTCTAGAATATATAAAGGACACTTAATAACATGACGATTCAATATAAAAATGGGCAAAAGATGTTAACAGATACCACAAAAAAATACACAGTGGCCAGTAAGAACATGAAACAATGCTGGGGAAATGTAAATTAAAGTCCCAACAAAATACCACTAAACACCCACTAGAGAAGCTAAAATTAAAAAGTGTAACATCAAGTGTTGGCAACGAGAAACACTGCTGATAGGGATGTAAAATAGTGTAAACACTTTGGCAGTTTAAGATTTTTTTTAAAATTAAGTAATAGGGGCTGGGGATTTAGCTCAGTGGTTCCACTGCCTGCCTCGAAACCACAAGGTCCTTAGTTCGATCCCTGGTACCAGAAATAAAAAGTAATCACTTCATGGGGTGCATGTGATGTTTTGATATATATATTGTTTTAGACAATTAATTATAAACTTACCTACCATATGGCCCAACTCTCAACTATCCACTACTAGGTTTTTACGTAAGGGAAGTGAAAGTCCATACAGGACGTGCTGTATGACTTTATGGATATAAAAGTTTAGAAGAGGAAACATATATAAATTTACATATATATTTAATCCCAAAGGTGAGTAGTCATCGGGCACAGAGGGATGGGTTGGAAAGGTGCAGTAGGGAACTTCTAGGCGTGATAGAGCTATTCTATCTCTTGGCCATGGAAGAGGTTTTGCAAATGTGCCAAAACTCACTGAAATGCAGTTTATTGGTGAGAGATTATACCCCCGTAAAGAAAACAGTTATTATTTTTTGTATTTTATTCCTTACTTATTATTTTTGGAAAAGGGAATTGAGGGTGTTGGGGAACATATACACTACAAAATGTCTTGTAAGATTGTTGGATGATAGTCCTTGAAAAATGTTAGGGTGATATGTAAGTTTTGCTGGGAGCTCAATACGCGTGACTCCAGAGAGTTCCGCAGAGGTGAGGAGTGGGGGTCAGCTTTGGAACCCTCCAGGTCCATGGAGTGGATTTGATGTCTGGCTTCTGTGAGGAGGAGTCTGGGCCTCAGACATTTCCATTCATGGCAAGGATTCTCACATTTCCAAGCCAGTGTCTTCACAGGGCTTTAATGAAAGATACCCATCCAACCCCTCTAACTTTTCTTTTTTCTTTCATTAAGTTTATTGGTAGGGTCAGGGATTTAGCTCAGTAGTTCCATCACCTGCCTCGAAAGCGGAAGGACCTGAGTTCGATCCCCGGTACCAAAAACAAAACAAAACAAGAAAGTTTATTGGTACATTTTAGGTATACAATATGTTGACATTCATCATTAAGAGTTTGTACCTGTACATGATGTATCTTGGTTCTTATTTTTTCCCCCTTCCCCTGCCCTCCCTTCACTCCCTGTTTACAAAGACTTTGTTTCTGTTTTTTCCTTTTCTCATATTTATTCCATTCCCTTCTTCCCTTTCCCCTACTCCTTCCACTTCCCCTTCCCCTTTGGACCTTTTCTTCTTAATTTCACATTATCTATTACACATTTTGATCCTTATTTACACTTTCAGTTTCTCTCACCAGATAAACTATTTGGTTTTTACACATGTGTGTCCTGTTTACTTCACTGAAGAGAATGGCCTCAATGTGCATCCATTTAGCTATAAATGTCCCTAGCTTCTAACTTCTTGCTAACCAAACAGCTTTTTGATTTCTACTCTAATGCCACTTCCCTGCATGGGACCCCAAGCTGAGCTCGTGCAAGTGACTGTACATCTCTGTTTCTTATCAGTCTGGTTTTTTTTTTTTTGGTACTGGGAATTGAACTCGGGTCCTTGTGCTTGCGCAGCAGGCGGCGAAACCACTGAGCTAAATCCCCGGCCCTATCAGTCTGGTTTTAATGAGTCAAATTCTAGTCAGATTGATTGCTTGTTTTCTTTGAAATTTCATTCTTTGCTTTTAAGCCTACAATAATCTTTCAATGATTCAATAATTACATGTTTTAGAGACTTATGGCTTAATTTTAAAATATACATGATTATATTTTTATCTTTAATTCCACTATATCTGGAATATATTTTGATGTTGAACATGAAGTAAAGAATCTAAAAAATTTCCTTCAAATGGCTAACCAATTGTCCTGGTACTATTTATTCAATAATCCTTCCAAGATGGATCTCAACAGGTGGAGATGGGGGAGGTTATTTTGGGCAGAGGAAACACATGGCCCCAGATGGTAGGAAGAAGTTTGGCCAGAGCCCAGGGGCTGTGAGGACCGGGTAGTGAACAAGGGAGCCTGGGCCACTGACTGGGATTGCTGGGGAGGCCCTTGGCTTGCAGGTGGGGAGTTTGGGCTGGACTGGAGAGCAAATGGGTGGCCACCAGGGGTGCTTCAACTTGAGTATGATGGCTCCAGGGTGTGACCCATAGCCGAGAGCCCAATAAGGGGCGAGTGACAGAGATGGAGGCTGGGAAGCCACCAGTGGACTGGAAGACGGGAACGGAGCTGGAACTGTAGAGAAGTTGGACGGGCGTGCAGGATGAGGGGAGAGGAAGGTGACGACTGGAGTCACGGGTGGTCAGGTGGCCATTCCTGCTGAGCCGCACGGGGCTTCCAGTGTGTCTTAGAAGTGCGCAAGGACTCTCGTGGCTCCGAGGAAGGGACACAGAAGCTGGAGCTCTCGTCTTCCTGTCTGAAGGCTGTGCCTGTGACACTGTTCCATTCTGGGGCCAGGGGAGGAGATGGAAGCCAGATGTCAGAGTGCTCACTAATGACTGTGGGTCGGAACGCCCTGATCTGTGACACAGGCCAAAGAGGATGGGACCCGGCACAGGGAAGCTGGACAGTGACAGTGTGGGCCACTGAGGCCGAGTGTGAGGCCTGGGGCAGCGCAGGAGATGGGTACTTGGGAAAGGAGAGTGAGAAACATCCTTCATCCG